GGGGGGGGGGGGGGGGGGGGCTCCCCTGGATCCACCACCGATAGTAATGCAAACGTATTTTTATACAGGTGAGCTTATGGAAGGAGTCACTCGAAGGCCAGTGGGTGTGTGTTAGTGATAAGCCAAGTGCAGGAAACGCAATGATATCTTTCTTCTTTAGTCAAATATTACAAAAAGCTCGTTTCTAGATAACTAGAGGAATTATGTACAGGGTTTAAAATACATCTATCGTATACCTACAAGTTTAACAACACTGACATACCTATGACAAGTTAAACAACCCTGACACACTTTGTTTACATTGTATGTTAAAAGGATGGGCTGATTCTGTACATCTGTTAGCCTGTGCAGCAGGTGCACTTTTGTCAAGGTCATACAGGCTGGTATCTGAAGGTTCCATTTTGTACTTCAGCTATTCAGTTAAAACATGACTAATAGGTTAATGATTATTCGACAGGGTTACCTACATTATTTTGTTGAAAATAATGTTATTGTTGTTCCAAAAAATGTGACAAATGAGTCTTCATCTCTTTTATATCAGTCCTTTATCCTTGAACCTATGAGGTATTTTCATTAAAGTTGTCGGCAATTTCTTAATAAAACACTAATTTATCAAACAACACCACAGAAATCTATCAGTTGGTAACTTATGAACAGTAGATCAAGAAATAACTGCTAACTGGCTGCTTAATACAGTAGTTCTTTTCAAGAATGAGACGTTTGATATTGTCATCGACATAGTCAGCAGTGACACTGTTGATAACAAAACCAACTTTTTCTTTTCCCTGTTCTTTTTCCTGCCACGTTCCCTTCTTTCCCTAACTCTAACCCGCTTATAACAGAACCAGCTATTGTGTTGCGCTTCCTGTTTTTAAAGTTGGTTTAAATGTTACGAGTGATATCAAAGCAACAAAACACACGCCCAAATAGAACGTACTTGAGTAATGACAAAAACAGTTTAAAATTGTACTGAATTCTACGGGTACGTAGACTTGCCCACAAGTCGACTATTATTGAATTCGCCACGGTGACTCAACACGGTGACAGGGGATGAAACAGGACGTACGTCCCTGCAATTTATAGGTTCTTTTATCAACACCTTCATTACCCACCCGATAATGCTACGGCAACAATAAAAAAGAACCTTTGAAATTGATGAAAGCTGAATTTTTTGAGGAAGTTAAAGTTTGGCGTTTAGCAAAGACTCTTCGTAAAAAGTAAAAACTTCTGTATGTTTGAATTCGACTAAAACCAAAATATATTTCAAACCTTAAATTCTCTATAGCCGTGATAGATTATTTAATAAAAACGTTACAAATGACTCAAATTATTCTTAAGTAGCGTCAGAATTGCTTCGTAATTGTGACACAAATTAGAAACTGACTTCAACTTAAGATAGTTAAGAATTCCTTCACTTCATTCTTCATCATACCTATACAACACCAACCACCACCACCACCACCACAACAAAACAGCAAAAAGCAAGGTTAGCAAATTGGCAAAAGAAAAGGATATTGATTTCAGCTAGTGAGGCGTAACATTTTGACAACTGACTTCTAAGAGTGCGGCGCTCGATTGATGGTATTCCGGAATAAGAATACGCAAAAGTTTTGTTACAAACCTCTTCAATACCGTAATGTTTGAACCATTTAAAGTTTATATTGCCTAGAATAGTTTATTTCAAGCAATTTTGCAGATACTGGAATACAATGAAAGACAAAAAAAGTCAGGATTTCTGGCGAATTTTTCCATTTATTTTTATTTGGGACGCGGAATACAGTGAATCGAACACGCCCTAAATCTGTTAGAGCAAAGGGTCACATTTAAACTGCCAACTTCAACCAACGATTAGACGTTTATAAAATAACTAAGATAGTACGAGCGCTCTGATTGGCTGAGAGGAGTGTTTGCATGAGAGTATGTAAACATGGTTGTGGCGTCAAGATGTTTTGCTTTTCGCGCGCTAATCACGCAAGCACGAATTTGAAAACGTTTTCAAGTTCACAACTCGACAAGTTTACTTTATTTACCCATTCCTTCGTGTGCTGAAACTTGGAAAATCGTTACAAAGAAAGTGTGTCAAGTTTTTTTCGCTTAAGTTGACATTTTAAGCGAGAAAAGTCCGTATTTTGGAAAGCATCTTTTTGCAAAACAAGAACTGATTACGCGTGCAAGATTTCGTGGACAAGACTTTGCGAGTGGTAAGAATTTCTCTTTTAATCGTTGCCATACAAAGAGTTTTGCGTTTTTCATCGGGAAATTTACTTTATAAAAGCAATAGAAAACTTTTTTCCTGTGTTTGCATAGCCTGATATAAACACTCTAGGCGTTGGGAGAATTCTCGACAGTTATGCAAACCCTCGACTTCGTCTCGGGTTTGGATAACTGTCTCGAATTCTCCCAACCCCTCTCGTGTTTATGTCAGGCTATGCAAACACAGAAAACGTTTTCTATTGCTTAAATTGTAGAATTAAGGAAACTTGCATACGATTAATCCTCCATTAAGCCCCCTCTGTAATAAGCTCCCCTTTTTTAGGAAAAACTCCCTCTCTCTTCCAAGTCCCTTCTCCCAATTCTTATATAATAGATAAATACATAGATAGATATAATTTTATAGTGTATCAAGACTATAACACTCCTTTCGAAATTTTGAGGTGTCGTTCATGGCACTCTATGGCTTTCTGAAATTCTCCAATACTGTGATAGGCGTTGCCAAGATTACAGTACGCTCTTCCCTCTCCTGCCCTGTTTCCCACTTCTTTTGAAATTTTGAGGTCTCGTTCATGGTACTCTATGGCTTTCTGAAATTCTCCAATACTGTGATAGGCGTTGCCAAGATGACAGTACGCTCTTGCTTCTCCTGCCCTATCTCCCACTTCTTTCAAGATTTTGAGGTGTCGTTCATGCACCTCTATGGCTTTCTGAAATTCTCCAATACTGTGATAGGCGTTGCTAAGATTAGAGTACCCTCTTCCTTCATCCGCCCTGTCTCCCACTTCTTTCGAAATTTTGAGGTGTCGTTCATGGTACTTTATGGCTTTCTCAAATTTTCCAAGACTGTGATATGCGTTGCCAAGATTATAGTATGCTCTTCCTTCTCCCGCCCTGTCTCCCACTTCTTTTGAAATTTTGAGGTGTCGTTCATGGTACTCTATGGCTTTCTGAAATTCTCCAATACTGTGATAGGCGTTGCCAAGATTACAGTACGCTCTTCCCTCTCCTGCCCTGTCTCCCACTTCTTTTGAAATTTTGAGGTCTCGTTCATGGTACTCTATGGCTTTCTTAAATTGTCTAATACTGTAATAGGCGTTGCCAAGATGACAGTACGCTCTTGCTTCTCCTGCCCTATCTCCCACTTCTTTCAAGATTTTGAGGTGTCGTTCATGCACCTCTATGGCTTTCTGAAATTCTCCAATACTGTGATAGGCGTTGCCAAGATTACAGTATGCTCTTCCTTCTTCCGCCCTGTCTCCCACTTCTTTCGAAATATGGAGGTGTCGTTCATGGTACTCTATGGCTTTCTGGAATTCCCCAATACTGTGATAGGCGCTGCCAAGATGACAGTACGCTCTTGCTTCGCCTGCCCTGTCTCCCACTTCTTCCGTAATTTTGAGGTGTCGTTCATGGAACTCTATGGCTTTCTGAAATTCTCCAATACTGTGATAGGCGTTGCCAAGATTACAGTATGCTCTTCCTTCTTCCGCCCTGTCTCCCACTTCTTTCGAAATATGGAGGTGTCGTTCATGGTACTCTATGGCTTTCTGAAATTCTCCAATACTGTGATAGGCGTTGCCAAGATTACAGTACGCTCTTCCCTCTCCTGCCCTGTCTCCCACTTCTTTTGAAATTTTGAGGTCTCGTTCATGGTACTCTATGGCTTTCTTAAATTGTCTAATACTGTAATAGGCGTTGCCAAGATGACAGTACGCTCTTGCTTCTCCTGCCCTATCTCCCACTTCTTTCAAGATTTTGAGGTGTCGTTCATGCACCTCTATGGCTTTCTGAAATTCTCCAATACTGTGATAGGCGTTGCCAAGATTACAGTATGCTCTTCCTTCTTCCGCCCTGTCTCCCACTTCTTTCGAAATATGGAGGTGTCGTTCATGGTACTCTATGGCTTTCTGAAATTCTCCAATACTGTGATAGGCGTTGCCAAGATTACAGTACGCTCTTCCCTCTCCTGCCCTGTCTCCCACTTCTTTTGAAATTTTGAGGTCTCGTTCATGGTACTCTATGGCTTTCTTAAATTGTCTAATACTGTAATAGGCGTTGCCAAGATGACAGTACGCTCTTGCTTCTCCTGCCCTATCTCCCACTTCTTTCAAGATTTTGAGGTGTCGTTCATGCACCTCTATGGCTTTCTGAAATTCTCCAATACTGTGATAGGCGTTGCCAAGATTACAGTATGCTCTTCCTTCTTCCGCCCTGTCTCCCACTTCTTTCGAAATTTGGAGGTGTCGTTCATGGTACTCTATGGCTTTCTGGAATTCCCCAATACTGTGATAGGCGCTGCCAAGATGACAGTACGCTCTTGCTTCGCCTGCCCTGTCTCCCACTTCTTCCGTAATTTTGAGGTGTCGTTCATGGAACTCTATGGCTTTCTGAAATTCCCCAATACTGTGATAGGCGTTGCCAAGATTACAGTATGCTCTTCCTTCTTCCGCCCTGTCTCCCACTTCTTTCGAAATATGAAGGTGTCGTTCATGGTACTCTATGGCTGTTTGAAATTTTCCAAGACTGTGATAGGCGTTGCCAAGATGACAGTACGCTCTTCCTTCTCCCGCCCTGTCTCCCACTTCTTGTGAAATTTTGAGGTCTCGTTCATGGTACTCTATGGCTTTCTGAAATTCTGCAAGACTGTGATAGGCGTTGCCAAGATTACAGTATGCTCCTGCTTCTCCTGCCCTGTCTCCCACTTCATTCGAAATTTTGAGGTGTCGTTCATGGTACTCTATGGCTTTCTGAAATTCTCCAATACTGTAGTAGGCGTTGCCAAGATGACAGTACGCTTTTCCTTCTCCTGCCCTGTTTCCCACTTCTTTTGAAATTTTGAGGTCTCGTTCATGGTACTCTATGGCTTTCTGAAATTCTCCAAGACTGTGATAAACGTTGCCAAGATGAAAGTACGCTCTTGCTTCTCCTGCTCTGTCTCCAACTTCTTCCGAAATTTTGAGGTAACGTTCATGGTACTCTATGGCTTTCTGAAATTCTCCACGACTGTAATAGGCGATACCAAGTTTACTGTATGCTATTCCTTGCCCTGCTTTATCTCCCACTTCTTTCGAAATTTTGAGGTGTTGTTCATGGTACTCTTTCTGCTCGCTTTGGTATTCCACCTCTCCTGAGAAAAGGTATAAACATGTTGTGGTTTCATTTTATCGTTTAGACAATTTTCATTAGTGGTTCATCTTTGTGCCATACAATTAGTTGGGTCAGTAGTAATTGTACATTAGGGGAGTGCGTTTGTGAGAGAGGTGATAAGGCCAGGAACGGGAAGGGTGCCGAAGGAGAGGCAAGTATGAACAAATGACCTTAAGATCGAGGTTTAGTCATTTTACTGCAAACGACAAACTGCGGTTTGCGCTTAACGGTTTCACGTTACTCGTTTGCCCATATTTGGGACTTGAGATTCGCGGGTGGTAGCTCGCGGCTGCAATGTTTGTTTTCAATCGTCCACTTATATTTCAGGAGAGAAGTTGTCTTCAAAATTACCGTCCTTTTTTAAAAAATAGAATTCGATAATCAATAAGCAAGAGCTCTAAAAAATGTCATTTTTTTCTCAAACGGGGTATTGTGATGTTTTATGGTGCAAAAAACCTTGCGGTAAATCACTTACCTCTGGAGCGAGGTCTAGCCGTACAAACGTAAACTTCAAACCCCAATTTTGACGACAAGGCACTGGTTACGTGATTTCTTGACGTTTGCAAATCGTGGGAAATGCCGAAAAACCTCAATCTCAAGGTCTGATACCAACCTCGCATATGAATCCGAAGCAACGCAATCTCCACACAACAATTCTTATGGCTTACCGATGCTTATTTATTCATAGCCCTCGCAAAAACTGAAACAACCTTTTGGGCTTTCTACTACTTCTTACTTGTACTCGTGGATAGGATTGTGGACATCAAACCTGTTGAAATTTTGTGATTTATTTGATGCGCACTGGATTTTTTCCCCACATCAAAAGTGGCGACCCTGCCAGGACTGCTTGTTAAGCGAACTTTGTGGGGCACAAACACCTAATGCCTGAAGACTCAAGAAAATATTACTGACTGCGAAACATGGTGAAGCTTGCTGAAGAAAATTACAAAAAGGAATTAAAAAGGCCAACGTACTACGTTGGAGAAACCGCGGAAAAACTAAAAGCTGAAGGAAAGGAGGATTTGCGTTTAGCGTACGAGAGAATATGTGACATAAACAAGGCACTCGAGTATTCAGCGAACCGAATCAAAGACGCCGTGTTGGATGCGGACAAGAGTTTTGACTAGGTAAGATAGTGGTCAGACATGCGTAAACAAGATTTTTGTTTCTGTCCGAAACCTAAGAGATAAACTGAAGGAAGCTTTAAGCGAATTAAAAAAAAAAAAAAGAAATATAGTCCGGGAGCTATAGACGTTTTGTTTAACCTAGGAGGCAGAAAAGGTTTGACAATGAATTTAGATAGATTAAAGCACCTTCTTTTTGGCTAGGTAGTCCGTGGTTTCAAATTGTGGTATAATTCTTGAGTTACAGCTATGTTTTTAACGGTCGTTAACAGGGAAAATGAATTTAACATGAAAGCGAGGCTGAAAGTGGAAAGCAAATAAATTCTAAGAAACGCACTGCACAAGAAAACCAACATGCTTGGATATCTCCTCGTAAATCTTGCCGGTTAATTAATGAGTTTCTGTCTCGACAAAAAAAATCAACTAGATTGTCCCAAATCAAAATAGGAAATTTTTACCTCGCCTGGTGATATAGCCGAAGCATTGAATAACTATCTTACAAATTTTGGCCAATTGCTAGCTCGAGGAATTCCTAGTGTAGACACTGATCCCCTTTCCTATGCAAATCCTGTCAACGGAGTATTTTCTTCCCAACGGATCAATGTTCAAAAAGTCATCAAATTACTTAAAGCTATCGATGTTGGTAAACCACTAAAAATTGTAGCCGATGTTGTTTCGCCCTCTTTAACAGGCGTTTCTTTCTACTTAATCCATTCTGACTGCTATTTTCCCCTTTGACTGGAAACGAGCTAAAATGTCACCTATTCTGGTTCTCGTCCTGGTTCTCCTAGAATATACATTGAGAACACTAACGTTAGCTTTTCTGTACCTAGCATACCTGATCTCGAATTACAAATCAATACTGAATTGAAACATTGATCTCTGGCTTAAAGCTAACAAGTTAAGTCTCAAAGTCGCCAAAACAGAGTTAATGATTGTTAGCTCGAGGCAGAAACTACTATCTTTAAATGACTACACAATAAACAATGATATAGATAGCGTCCAAGTAAACCAAACAACTCATAGCAAATCTCTTGGGCTTAATATTGACGATCTATATTGGAAGGCCCACGTACATGACATCGCAAACAAAAAAAGGCTCCTCAAGTATTTGTGCGCTTAAGCGAATCAGGCTATTTTTTTCCATACACACTGCAGTATTAATATACCAATGTCTTATTGAACCACACTTTGATTACTGTAGTGCTGTCTGGAATGGCTTGTTGCAACAGCTAAAAAGTGATAAACTTCAAAAAACTACAACACCGCGCTGTCAGAATTATCAATAAATCAAGCCATGACACTAGTTCCAAACAACTTCATGACTTGCTTGGTTGAGACAACTTATCGATTAGAAACGCTATATAAGCAATTAAGGCTTACTTAATTAAGTGTACTAATAGTCTTGCCCCAGCTTATTTCTGGAATTTGTTTGCTCCGACAATCTCGAATTACGAACTTCGTGACGCTAAAGGTAAATTGTTACTCCCGAAACCAAGAACTGACTTCCTTGAGCATAGCTTTAGTTACAGTAGTGCTTAATTATGGAACAATCTTCAAATAGTTTTACGATGAGATCCTCAGAATTCAAGGCAATGAAAGTACTGTAGTTACTGAATCTATTTGCCGAATATCTCGGTTTGAAACAAAGCTCTCTGCCCACCCTCCTCCCTCCTTTGCGCTATATCTCTTCCGTATACCCTCTTTTCCCTTCACTTTCGAGCCAGAAGCCCATGCTCAAGCTCTATCAACAAGAGGACAGCATGCACCAAATCAAATACAAATATCTTTTGACAGTAACTTAGAATTTTTATATCTTACCTGCAACAAGCTCTGTGGCAGGACTTTCTTGAACTTCAGGAATTGCCTTTTCTTCCCCTTTACCTAACAAAGATGAAAAACGCAATTTCTACCTTTACTTAAACTTGGACTCAAATTTGCTCTTCAATATAATTAGTAACAGATGACAAACAGGACATTTGTCCGTAATGCCATTATAGTGTAGTGTTGACACTACCCAGGAGCCCATAACCCGGAGTGAGCAAAGTTCATGCGCTCGTGTCACGGCGTTTTTACGAACCAGTTTATTTTTAGAACGGTTTTTCGCGCGAATTTCGAGAGTAGGCAGTTAATAGTGCAACAAATTCCTTGCCCCCCTCCTCCCTCTCCAAAAGGGGAAGTGTTTATTGTAGGGGGTATTTTTGTATAATTCGAGTAACTTCTTTGCCTCACAAAAAAAGAATACATGAAACAAATTCATTGTGTCATAAAGTCCTAATCTCCGTCTAGATTACGTCTTTGTGTGAAAGGTTCATGGCGAAGTTCCACGCGCGCCCGAGGAGAGCCCCATTGCAAAGAAAATGTGGTAATCTATCCATCCGAGAAAATTTGGTTAGGACGTCACCGTACGCCCACCCTCCCGTACGTTCACTACGATCCATGTAAGCCAATGTCAAGTGTCGCGTTAGATCTTGCACAAAATTGACACTACCCTGTCAGTTATATACAAGCAATTCAGTTCAATATTTACTCAATTTTGCGCCTACGTTAGACAACTTTAAAATGTTTCAATGGACACGAAAATCGGGCACTTTACAGTACACTGATCAATTGCATCACTGAAATATTTTAAAGAAAATCTATCGTCAAATATTGCTTTAATCGCTGTTTTCGTGAAAGAGCTCAGCATTGCGTTTTACCCTGATTCACATGTTTTTCAAGTCTACTTGCGTTTAGCCAAGAGAGGATAAACCTTTATCCTCCCTGGGTTTAGCTGATTGTAGAATGTATAAGGGTAATTTGCAAAACGGATGAGTGGTGAAATCTTTCCGGAAACATCCAAAAAGTAGCAAATTTGTCTGCATATTGATAAAGTCTAGTCTTAAGTTCATGCATGATTTATACCTTTTTTGAAGAAATTCCAAGATATCTCGAAATTTCTCTTCGTAATTGCCTTTCTAGGTTTTTTTGTGTTGTTTTTGTCCCGCTACTATTGTTAGACTTGCCTATACGAAAAAGATTGGCAGCTCTAGCGGCCGATTGTTCAAGATTATATACTTATGTCTTTGAGGCTTTTAATTACTTTGCTCCCTATTGCTGTCATTTTTCCGCTTTACCTTTGTAAAAAAGAGCTAAAAAAATCCGCAATTTTTAATTCAAAACTTCAGACATTCGAGTCTGAATAACTTATTTTTAGCTTTTTCCGCAGTGCGTTAATCTGGTTAATTGTTTGGAATTGATATGAGCTTAAACTTCTCAGTAAAAGCCGTTTTTTGCATCAGCGAGTGTGCCTTCATAATTCCAGCGTAATTGACGCAAGACCTTGAATTATGATGATATTGTTACATCCCGAGACTTTCACTCAACTAAGCAGAAACTACCATTGGTTGATTCTTGGTATGTGGCCTTGACTAAATTCAAATCGGTAGCCCGGTCGTACATACAATTCAGCAATTGTATCTTGCTCGGGATACAACAGCTCGTGATACAGCAGATACAGCAGGTATAGTGGAGGGCAAAGATGCAGTTAGCATAAGCAAAGCACTAAATTTGTGAATTAGTCATTAAGCGGTTTTCAGAATTAATGTTGTTATTGTTTTGATTCGTTCTATGTTCTTTGTCGCTGTTGAAGTGAAAGGCTACGAATATAACATGAAAACACTTTATGTCATGTCCCTACTGAAACTATTTTTTCTTTAAGTTTGGTTTTCCCTGGAGTCCACGACTATAGAAACATCGGGACTCTCGGGTAAACGCAATGAACTGTCTCCTTCAGGACCTGACATCACGCGTATATTTCCTCTTACAGCAGCATTTTAATTAAGGTGAAAAATAAGCGTCTTATCACCATAGATTTGTTTACAAAACTATTCGTTTTAATCGTGATTACCAACTGCAATGTGGGTTGTAGAGGTTTTACATTTGCCCGCATTAGGTAATGCCGTCCCAATGTTGGATTATTCTAGGGCGTCTCAATGTTGGATTATTCTAGCTTAGTTTAGTACGGTACTAATGCGTACCTATCTCATTATTACCTGATCTGTTTTTCAAAAAATCTTTGTATGACAAGTAGTCTTCCTCTGAAATAATGGTTCTCAGTTTTACCTCACTGAGTTCAAGCTTTTCCAGAACCTCTCCCGTTACAAGCGTATCTTGAACCACTTCGTTAAAACGGCCTGTCCGATATTCGTTCCACAATGCCTCAAGAACTTCTAAAGAACTGCAGAACACTGTTATGACAAGGCTTCCTAGTCTGTAGCTTTGAACGTCAACTCCAAGCTTTATTTTCAGGTATCTGATCAAGAGTTCTAATGGCCTCTTGAATGAACAAACAACATACCAGAAATCAAGAACTACTGGAATATTTTGCAGTTCCGTGCTTGTGGATAGACCAGCAATACCTTCTGCTGATGACTGCTCTGGGGGTATAGGTACACGTGTCTCCAGAATTTCAATTGGCAATTGGTCGCCTTCCACTTCTGTTGATGAACCATCAGCTGACCCATTTGCCTTAAGACTTTTTAGGGCAATTAGAATTTCCATGTGTCTTTGTTCTTGCTCACTTTTCATTTGTTCTTGTTTACTTTTCATTTGTTCTTGTTCATTTTTCATTTGTTCTTGTATAAGTTGCAATTGCTCCATCATTGTATCTAGCTTTTCGAGCTTATTTTTAGTATCCATATCCATTAAGTACCACTCTCGCAGTTCATCAACACATTCCTTTGCATATGGTGTTAATGGTTCATGGAAAAACTTTTCGATGGACTTCTTCCACTCATCCGTCTTTGCACTACTTATGCTGCTAGCAATTCTCAGTAAGGCCTCACTGATTTCCTTCCAAAGCTTCTTAAAATCAGCTCTTGTTATCTCCATGCTGTGGTTGTGACCATAAATTGTGTTACGATAAATCCTAATTCTAACCAAGTCGGCTCCAAGACTGTGATCAGTGCTGTTGGGTAAGTTGTCCCATCCAGTAATGGGAGGAGTGAGGCTGCATATTGCTCGAAGCAATTTACAAAGTAGGCTGATATCAAAATCGGCCGATTTGCCATGCATTCCTGGCCCACTTGAGTTGTAGAGATAGTCCCATTCGGTTTGGCTGAGGATCCTTATTCTTTTCAGACTTTGGAGCTGCGTCTTTATGGCAGGGTTACCGAGCACAGCTGGAAGGTTAACTGGTGGATAGATAGCATCAAACACTTCCCTTAAAAGTGCGAGTCCTCCACGCATCAGAAGCCGTGTCAACCTCTGGAAATTTTCCTTTTCATCTGTTGCACATAACGCTTCTTGTGCAGCAGATGGTGTTGTACGTGTAGCCATTTCTTTGCAAGCATCCCAGGTGGCACTAAAGAAATAAGTAACAGCAAAATCTTGATACTTCAACATAACTGATTTGAAATTTAAATAAGACAGATAAGAGAGTCATTTAAATACGCCGGTGATTAAATATTTCCGGCCAGATAGCGACATCTTGTTGGGTAGATTCCTCTTCAGAGATGTAGACAACTATACTATAAAAGTGATTAAAAAACAAAATTTTAAGGAAAAGGGGTTACCGTTTTTCGTGAATGACATGAAGAAAATGCTTATTCCCGTCCACCAGCTATCCTGCTTCGTTAAGCAGTATAAGGAGATGCCTAAAGAGGTTTATTTGGGCAACCTAGAAAAATCACAGTGCAATCTTCTAATCTATAAACTTGGCAACTGGTTAATTCTCTGTTCAGGGTAATTGTATCTTCACCATACCAGCCTTAGAAATTATCATCTGAATTTCTCAATCCAGAAACTAAACTAATGGGCAAATGTCGATAAGGTCTCGTAAATGATATTATATGTTAACTATTGTTAATTGTGATTGAATTTTTTATCAGTTTCGTTCTGTATCAATGAATAGACGCTCAATATATAGCGCGTGGTGCCATTATTTCGTCATCAGCACTGATGATGGATTAAGTACACGTCCCTTTGAGTCCTCTACTGTGATTAAGACATCTCATTGTAATCAAAGAAAACGTGTGCTTCTACATAGCTAGCCTGTTAAAATACTATCGACTGTGGAAAAAAAGCTCAATTCCAAGTAACAAACGTTTACACAGACATAAATGATACTTTGCATTGATGAGAAGCAAAGGATCAGTTTTAGCCGTTGGCAGGGCGAGAAAATCAACTTTTTAGAGTTAAAACAGGTTAATATAATATAATTGAAAGTAGTTTATATCAATATCACTGATATATAAGCTTAAGCGTCACCGCTTCAAGCATATATGCTAATTATGTATCCTATTGATTATCATTCTCAGAAGATCTGAATAGAATCGATGCCCAATATCTCCTTGAAACCAAGTTGTACACGCGATCTCGAATACGACGGGTTACGAAAGAAAACATTTGTACACTAGTGTACCCTCTTATAATTTTAAATGGGGACGAAGAAAGTGAGCAAATTACCTCTCCTTTACCTTGGCTTTGAATCCGATGACCTCTAGGATGAAACCTGTGAAAACATTCAGACTTTCAGCAAATTTTCTTTCACAGTTTGTGATTACAAATCTTTGAAAACAAAATCACCTCAGTTTCTAAACAGTGAACATGCAAGTAGTTTCGAAGCAAGTTTCCTTTTCACGGCCTTTAGAAGCTAAACAACAAGGGATCCACAACAACTTCCGTGTCACGGAATGTGATTGCACTTGCGAAATCTTCAAATTCCACCCTTTACTACAAGTTTGAAGTGAAATTTGAAAATGGTTTTCATCCTTCATAGTTTGCTACACTTGCTAACAGGTTAACTTCTCAAGTGGCTAAAAATCGTCAAGTTCTTATCGACCTTCTCCGCCATCTTTTCATAGAGGTGTGGAAATATCCACAAAATTGTCGTTCCCATACTCCTTAGAGATACGGCCATGCTAATGTCGCTCGGCATGATTAAACATATGGCGTTTGTCACGAGTTTCTCGGTCATGCAATGTAAACAGATAACATGACATAGATTTCGAAAACAATTGACAGTGTATTATAGACACAACTTAGANTGAAACCAAGTTGTACACGCGATCTCGAATACGACGGGTTACGAAAGAAAACATTTGTACACTAGTGTACCCTCTTATAATTTTAAATGGGGACGAAGAAAGTGAGCAAATTACCTCTCCTTTACCTTGGCTTTGAATCCGATGACCTCTAGGATGAAACCTGTGAAAACATTCAGACTTTCAGCAAATTTTCTTTCACAGTTTGTGATTACAAATCTTTGAAAACAAAATCACCTCAGTTTCTAAACAGTGAACATGCAAGTAGTTTCGAAGCAAGTTTCCTTTTCACGGCCTTTAGAAGCTAAACAACAAGGGATCCACAACAACTTCCGTGTCACGGAATGTGATTGCACTTGCGAAATCTTCAAATTCCACCCTTTACTACAAGTTTGAAGTGAAATTTGAAAATGGTTTTCATCCTTCATAGTTTGCTACACTTGCTAACAGGTTAACTTCTCAAGTGGCTAAAAATCGTCAAGTTCTTATCGACCTTCTCCGCCATCTTTTCATAGAGGTGTGGAAATATCCACAAAATTGTCGTTCCCATACTCCTTAGAGATACGGCCATGCTAATGTCGCTCGGCATGATTAAACATATGGCGTTTGTCACGAGTTTCTCGGTCATGCAATGTAAACAGATAACATGACATAGATTTCGAAAACAATTGACAGTGTATTATAGACACAACTTAGAAAAAAGAGTTAAAGAGACCTCGCTTTTACTAACTTTCTTAACCAAGCCAGCCAACGCATTGCTTCCTTGACAGGACCCTTGGGTAAGGCGGGGACGAAAAAAATGAAGACACCTTTTTAGATTTTTGGAGCGTGGACGTTATGGACTTTGTGTGTAATCATGGGAAGGAAGAAAAGGGAAAAAATACTGGAGTCAAAGCCGTCAGAGCTAGCAATAGTTGGCTGACTCTCACCTGACTCTTCCAGCGAGGTTTTACAATCTTCTATGTGGTAGCACTTTTCCAGACCCCATCAGCTGTTCATATTTTTAAATTTTGCGCTGGCCACATTTGCCTCGAAGATTGTGAATGCTTAGTTACGCCCCTGGGAAACTTAGAAAACGTTCGACATCGTCTATTAATTTTACAAGTGTCATACCAAAAAGTAAAACATTATGCAGGATATTTTCATAATATCCCCCTGCAAAGTGGATACGTTCTTTCAGGGATAACTACTTTACTCATGAATGAACTGCTGCAATCCCTGAATATGTTGTAAACAAACTCGTACGAATATTACATGAAGTAGAAATACAATCAACTCTCGCCTTGCGGGCACCCGGCTATAACGGACGCTCCCTCGAGAACAGCCGGTTGCATCAATAAGAGGGATGTTGTATGATTAAAGAGAAGACACCAGGGCCTGACTATTCATTTCTTACAAGCCCAAAAATGCCCTCCATGCATTTTGTTATCTTCCCTTTTGATTATAAAAACAACCACATCAGTTTTCAGTGTGAGGTGAACACAGGCTGACACGGTCCACGTGACCAATTTTGTCCAATCACGTCATTGCAGATGGCGGACTGATTCTTTCACCTTTTTGCGGGTAGTCTCGTCGATGTTCTTCGATTTTCGCCGTTTATCAAGTGATTTACAATTATTTTTTGGAAAAGTTTGAGTAGACAGATGTAGCAAGCCGCAGTTCTTAAAACAATATAATGTATGTTTGTTTTCTATTGCCTGGGCTTTCCAAGTGTCCCTTTGTCTCTTGTAATGTCAGTATCTTCATTGTAAGATGTCGGCTGCTTGTTAAAAATCAAGATCACCCCACTCAGCAGGAGCAAGCTGGGTGGCGCAGTGGTAAGAGCACTCGCCTCCACCAATGGGGTCTGGGTTCAAATCCCTTTGTCGAAACCATATGTAGGTTGAGTTTGTTGTTGGCTCTCTCACTTGCCCCGAGAGGTTTTTCTCTTGGTCCTGCGGTTTTCCCTTCTCCTCAAAAACCAACACTTCCAAATTCTAATTCTATCTTGAACGCTCGGACACGTTTAAACGAGTTCATAAGAACTCCTAAGTGCTTCGTAGGTAAACAAATTACCATTACCATTACAATTACAAACAGCCTAAACATTCATTCTTAGATCCGAGGCTGAGGGGTATAAAACAAAAGAAATCGCTCTGAGGTTAATTCGTTTCTTTTGTTCTATTCCGTCTCAGCCTCGGAGTCAGGTATGAAACTGGCCTGAACTGGCTCGTTGCCTCTGCTCTTAGAACATATATGTTACAGGTCAAATTTGATTTCAGGCTCAATTTTTTTTAACCTATATATAGGTTGATTCTCAATTTCCTTTGTCTCCTAGCCCTAATTATTCATGAATTAGGGCTAGGAAACAGAGGAAATTGAGAATCAATCTACTGGGGTTAAATCAAAGTTAACCTGAAATCAAATTTGACCTGTAACATATATATTGATAATGTACACCAAACCGACTGGGAATAGTACGTCCTTTGAACAGAAAAGCTAACGCCCGATCTTTTACTGGTTTAGGTTGAACTCCCTTATATGGCCTATACAAAGATGTGCTCATATGTACCGCTAGACAAGGTAGGGTTTTTGACTTCTCTATCCTAAACAGGGTAAATAATTCGTGCGCGTCTGCCCGCCTCATTAAAGACAGGATATTGCCTACACCATTGATTTGAGGTGGTTGATATATGAAACTTGTGTGTATTCCAGATACAAAAGTGGTGACCAGCTGAACGTGGATTTGGTCTATTGTTATTGCCAATAACTGGGTTTTAAAACAAAAAACGGCCTGCTTTTTTACCTTTGTCCTAAACAGGGTAATATAATCAAGGGTGTTGTTCTTAACTGGGTAAGTATTTCATGGTTTTTTGTACTAAAAAGGGTCAGGGTATTGCTTNGGTCCTGCGGTTTTCCCTTCTCCTCAAAAACCAACACTTCCAAATTCTAATTCTATCTTGAACGCTCGGACACGTTTAAACGAGTTCATAAGAACTCCTAAGTGCTTCGTAGGTAAACAAATTACCATTACCATTACAATTACAAACAGCCTAAACATTCATTCTTAGATCCGAGGCTGAGGGGTATAAAACAAAAGAAATCGCTCTGAGGTTAATTCGTTTCTTTTGTTCTATTCCGTCTCAGCCTCGGAGTCAGGTATGAAACTGGCCTGAACTGGCTCGTTGCCTCTGCTCTTAGAACATATATGTTACAGGTCAAATTTGATTTCAGGCTCAATTTTTTTTAACCTATATATAGGTTGATTCTCAATTTCCTTTGTCTCCTAGCCCTAATTATTCATGAATTAGGGCT